CGACTCTGAGGAGATGTTTATTACTTTATCACTACATAATTATGTTTACACATTAGCATTAATGTTCTTTTTCCATTCTAAGGCCTTACATTGCTATCCATATTTTTTGTTTTTGTTTTTTATATTTTTGTTTTTGTTTTTTATTTTTAAGTTTTTTGTTTATCAATTTTTTGGTTTAAAAAAATTTTTTATTTTTGTTATATTTGTTGTATATCTTCGTACGTACTAGTTTTTTATATGATACAATTTTTTGTTATTGTTATTGTTAGTACTGCTTGGATGTGTTGTCTGTCTTACTTGTTTTGAAATTTTCCTCTATTAATCTTTATTTTTGTCTTGACAACTGTCAAAACATGCTTCGTTCAATAAATAATTCTTCTTTATTCTAATGTACTTCATTTCTTCCCTCGGGTGTTCACTGCTTGTGTGTGACCATTCGGCGAATTTTATATGCCAAAGTTTTTAAATAAATATTATTTCATCTTCTATTTTATTTACATACAGGGGTGGGACCGCAAAATGTGAACGTTTTTGTTTTATTATAACTATTTTCTCGTTAGATGTAGTTGTACTCTCTCACTCATCAGAAAGTGTCTAAAGAGTTGTTAAATATGAACTATTTTAAATAAGAATGTCCAACCATTGGACATTCTTATTTAAAATAGTTCATATTTAACAGAAAATTAATTATTACAATCAGAAAAGTGTTCACATTTTGCGGTCCCACCCCTGTATTTTAAACTGTTTAAAACAACTAGAATATTTAATTTTCTATAAATTTTTAACAGTAAAAAAAAATTATTAAAAACTCTAATTTTGAAACAGTTATAAAAAACTATTAAAAATGACAAAAACATTATTGTGATAAAAAGATTTTCAGGATTTTTACTAACGTAAAAGTATTTTTACGAAGCTAAAAATCATACGCTATTTAAAGTTTTTATTTGATATCTTAATTTTAAGGGGTTACAATACGCTAAAATAAAATTAAAAGTTGTCACAATATTCTTCCTCGCTCTCACTTTCTTCCAAATCTGATATTGTAACTATCACTAGATCAATGTCTGTTTTTCCTGACTTTCTTTTTTTTTTTCCGGATAACAATGAAAATTTGCTGACAATCGTCTAACTTTATCTTTATACCATTCGTCCATAGCAGTATCAGGTTCAAATTTGTCAATCTCAGGACCTTCTTCGCTTATCCGAAGTAGAGATTTTAAACGATCTCGTCTAAGACAACTTCTCCAGTCATTTTTTACGCGATTCATACATGAAAACATTCGTTCTACCTTCGCATTTGTAAAAGGACAAATTAAAAATAGTTCAAAAATATCAAGAATATTTCGGCATTCTTTGACCAAACTTGATTTGGAAAAAACAATTTCACAAATTTTCAAATCTGTTATACATTTTTTCAGGCCAACAGCATTAGAATTCTCTGCCGTTTCATTAGATAAGAACTCTACTTTTGGACTTCCGTCTTTTAAATAAAGAATGTAAATCAATTCCTGTTACGATACAGCTGAATCTGTGCTTCCATCACAGAGAACACAGTAAAATCTACAATTTTTTAAACATTCAGTTAATTTGTTTTTAATTACGGTGCCAATGTAATCTGTAAATATTGCAGCTGCACGGTCAGTGCCATAAGAATTTCCAAAATTTGTAACCCCATTAGTCTTTTCTAATGCAATCAAATAAGGATAATCTGTGAATGGACGCTCTCGTTTTGCCAAGTAATATGCAATAATAAACTTTTTCCGTAATGAGTCGGTGTCTTTTACGACCATTTTACATAAACCACGCTCGATAGGAGTATTATGAATAACATGGTTAAATAATGAAACTGAACCTAATGTTGTTTGTTGATGAATTCGCGCAGCCTCTTTATGTTGCACACTACTTAAGTGCGCTGCCAGTGAGTCTTTTTTTATTGATATTGTTCCTGGTTTGATCCAGGTCATAGAAAACAATTTTGTTTGACTTATCCGTTTTTCAAATTTTTTACATAAACTGCATCTTAATCTTATAACTTCATCTTTATTTAAATTGTATTCTAACTCACAATTCAAAAGTTTTTCCCACTTTTTAACTGTAGATAATCTGCGTCTGTAGTCCTTATTTGCATCCATTTATTGCTATTAATTTAAAGTTAGCAAGTATACTAACAAACTTTAGAGAGTTTTTTTTTAATAACTAGCTTAGAGTCTGTATTGCCTTCCACAATTCTTCGCAAACTAAACTTATAAAAATATCATTAAAATTGTTCATAATAAATGAGCAAAATCAGAATAAAGCCCTTGAGAATTTGAGTTAAGAAAATGACTTTTTAATCAATTAACTTTTATATCTTTTTTTAATCAAAATTTTTTATTACTTGATTCGAAAAGGTATTTTTTTTACATTTTTACTAATACATTTTTGCTAATTGATTTTCTAAATATTTCATTTTTCTTTCTTTTACTCTATGCTCAGCTTTTAAAAAAATTTATTGTTACAGAAGTCACTGTAGTTTTATACTGTAAAAGAACGCTAAATATTTGCGATTAATATTAATTATCTAAAATTAGATTTTTCTAAAATGATAAAAGAATAATTGCGAAAAAAAGAAAGGTTGCGAAAAAACAAATTTTAATAAAAAACTAATCGCGAAGGTGGGAAAAGTAATTGCAAATCGCGATAGCGATTACTTTTCCCACTTTCGCAATTAATTCAAGCCCTGTATATATATATATATATATATATATATATATATATATATATATATATATATATATATATATATATATATATATATATATATATATATATATATATATATATATATACACATATATATATATATATGAAAAAAAAAATTCTGAAAAATATTATTAATTCTTAAAATTTCAGAAAAAACTTCAGAAAACAATTTTATTTACTTTTTTTTTTAACTTACATTAAATTTTATTCTTACAAATATTTTACATTAAAATCGCACTACATTTGAGAAAGATGATTTTTTGTTTAGCCTTAACCTCTTGAATGAAAGATTCCAAAAAGAAACTTTGGATTTGGTGTCCAAGAATTTCAAACATGTAAAGAAACTTATGGACTACTTTTAAGAGAAAAATTAAGACTTAGATTAGAGGAACAATCTATTTTTTAAACTTGGAGTCCTTATATTTAATGGCAGCAAGGATTCCAGAAATCTAAGCTCAAAAAGAATATGTTCCAGGTCACTAAATGTCATAACTTTTTTTCTTATTGCAGATTTTAAGTCACCCAACATTTTTATAGCTTCCTGACACAAGAGACCAGGAAAAAACAGAGATTTAAAGAGTGCTTTTGAGACTTCACATTCTTGGTATTATTTATAATATTTTTCTAAAAAACTTTTTTTATTTTGTAACTGGGAACATCTGTGAAAGAAAACTGTAGATAGATGCCCCCAGTGTTCATACAATAGTTTTTAAGTTTTAGGTTTTTTACTTGCTTATTTATCTCACATCTTGACTTCATTTATTTAAATGGAAAAATATTATTAGCAAAAAATTATACCCAATGCCACTAAGTAACCGAAAAACAAGGAAGTAACCAAATGATGGTGAAAAAGCGGAACAAACTCCAAATAGTCCATTAAGAGACATTGACATCAGTAAAATAAATCTTCTACCCTAAAATAAAACAGCACTAACTTTGCAATACTAAACTACATTTAATCTCAACAAAAAAAATTAAAATTTACTTTACCTTGATATCAGCAGCTCCTCCAAATCCATAACCTCCTAATATCATGCCAATAAAAATTATAGCATTGAGCCATCCTTTATTGTTTGATGTTAAATACAAATCACATGCAGATGGAAGCACAAATGAAACAGTCTAAATTTTTAAGTAGAACAGTTAATCAAACGTGATACTATTTAAGCAAAAATACTATCCTCTGTATTTTTGTTAAAACATATTTTTTTCCTGTTATACACCGAATAATATCTCTTTTGATTAAATGTATCATTTAATCAACTTAATTTTATTAATTACTAATTTTTTGTTCCACTTAATGCCATAAAGGATTTGTGCTGACCCTGCACTGACCTGGAAGTTAACATTGATTCAAAAAACTTCTGGATTAAAAACTTTATTTGCAGACTGCAATTTAAGCGCTCTTAAGATATTAAACCTTTCATAAACCTTTTCAAGCTGAAAATTTTTTAAATAACAATGTTTAAATTTCTACTCTCAATAAACAACATTGTTTCTTAAGATGTGCTTAACACAAAACTTGTTTATTTAGACCTATGTCAAGTTCTGTGCTGTTTTTAAGTCGATATAGGGTCTTCTGTGCATAATGGTCTAATATTTTAGGATTCCAACATGGACCCCCTCAGATTTTGATGAAACTTAGTGGGTTGGTTTATATCAATGAGAAAAGCAATTCCTGAAAATTTCAGCTTCAAATCTTATGTGATTCATGAGATATGGCCATTTGAAATTTCTGATTTTTCCAAATATAAAAACTTCAGTAGCAAAAACATGTTTTGTTCATACTTTGAAGCTCTGTATTTTAAAAACCAAATTTCAGAAAACCTTCTAGTTTTTTTTATCATATACAATGCTAGGCTTACTTTGTTAAAACTTTGACATTAAATTTTTAATTGTCACATTTTATTCATAATGGCTGCCTAAAAAACCAAAAAAATTGTTTGCAGATATAGAAAGTTGATTTTTGATGGGTCAATATACAAAACTAGCAATTTAAGAAGTAAAAATACATATCTTTTTAGTTTCTATATATAGTAGGCTTCCTAATTTTCAGAAATTTGCTGATATGATACAATTCAGTAAGAAATTATGGACCCCTAAAAATGGCTCCGGCTAGAACTTACAAAATTGTGCCTTCCCTTAAATCCACTGGTAACCTATGATCAACACTGATTTTCATGGTATACCTTTTTTTTAGTCATTTAGTAGACTTTATTAAAGTGATTTCAGAAAAAAAAATAGTGGGTACTCATGGGGAAGTTACAAAGTCAGAACAATGAAGTCGACACAAAATGCATTAAAAACGCAAAAAATAGAGATATTGATGTACTTTAGTATTCATTGTTTACTGCAATGCAAAAAAATGTATATATATATGAAAGTATATCAAAATCATTGCTACAAATTAGCTTTAAATTAGGACTGAATTAAACTCAGGTTTTAAATAACCTTAGTTGCCCCCCCCCTGTCTTTTTATTTTTTAACATATATATATCTAGAAGAAAATACATATGTATTTTCTCCCAGAACTTATCTTAAAAGAAATATGTTATTGTATGTTTTACTTTACAAAATGTGTCTGATTTTTTTTCTAATGCATGAAGTGTTGATGCACAAAATAAAAATTGAACATACACAGTTAAAAGCTGTGACATGGCAAACAAGTTATTGGGTGTACTTTTTATCTTTATTTCGTATATAAAATTTATCATTCTATATTTATTTATTGTATCCAAACTTATGGAAACTTTAGTTTACACTTTAAAAATTGAAAATAAATATATTTTTTTTAGATAATAATTAAAAATAAATGGCAAGTTCATCTTTAGATCTAACTCAATGATGCATTGGAAAAAAATTAAATGAAAATTGTTTGGACACAATAAATAAATATAGAATGATAAATTTTATATACGAAATAAAGATAAAAAGTACACCCAATAACTTGTTTGCCATGTCACAGCTTTTAACTGTGTATGTTCAATTTTTATTTTGTGCATCAACACTTCATGCATTAGAAAAAAAATCAGACACATTTTGTAAAGTAAAACATACAATAACATATTTCTTTTAAGATAAGTTCTGGGAGAAAATACATATGTATTTTCTTCTAGATATATATATGTTAAAAAATAAAAAGACAGGGGGGGGGGGGGCAACTAAGGTTATTTAAAACCTGAGTTTAATTCAGTCCTAATTTAAAGCTAATTTGTAGCAATGATTTTGATATACTTTCATATATATATACATTTTTTTGCATTGCAGTAAACAATGAATACTAAAGTACATCAATATCTCTATTTTTTGCGTTTTTAATGCATTTTGTGTCGACTTCATTGTTCTGACTTTGTAACTTCCCCATGAGTACCCACTATTTTTTTTTCTGAAATCACTTTAATAAAGTCTACTAAATGACTAGAAAAAAGGTATATCATGAAAATCAGTGTTGATCATAGGTTACCAGTGGATTTAAGGGAAGGCACAATTTTGTAAGTTCTAGCCGGAGCCATTTTTAGGGGTCCATAATTTCTTACTGAATTGTATCATATCAGCAAATTTCTGAAAATTAGGAAGCCTACCATATATAGAAACTAAAAAGATATGTATTTTTACTTCTTAAATTGCTAGTTTTGTATATTGACCCATCAAAAATCAACTTTCTATATCTGCAAACAATTTTTTTGGTTTTTTAGGCAGCCATTATGAATAAAATGTGACAATTAAAAATTTAATGTCAAAGTTTTAACAAAGTAAGCCTAGCATTGTATATGATAAAAAAAACTAGAAGGTTTTCTGAAATTTGGTTTTTAAAATACAGAGCTTCAAAGTATGAACAAAACATGTTTTTGCTACTGAAGTTTTTATATTTGGAAAAATCAGAAATTTCAAATGGCCATATCTCATGAACCACATAAGATTTGAAGCTGAAATTTTCAGGAATTGCTTTTCTTATTGATATAAACCAACCCACTAAGTTTCATCAAAATCTGAGGGGTCCATGTTTGACCCTGGTTCACTTGGCATGGAATGACCCAATAGGGTTCTAACAGTAAAAATATTTTTTTTAAAAAGAGCAGCAACTTCTACTATAGTTCTATCTAGAAAAAAATTTCACTTTTGCATGCAGAATATTTGAGTATATATTTATAGCTGATATGGTTTTTTATTTTTATTTTTAGCTTCGTTCAGTTCTTCGTTTGGTACTTTATTACAAAGTTAAATATGTATTTATTGAAAGTAAACATTTATTATAATTAAAATTACTACAAAATAAATATTAAACATTATAAAAATAAAAATTATATATCCCATCTGCAGAAAATACATATTTTCTCAAAAGCTTTTCTAGGTTCTCATAGAAATCAGTTTTGGCTGTCTGTTTATATGCGAAAGAACGGGCTGCGCGGGTTTTTTCATACGTTTGTACAGTACAAATCCTGCCCACTTATTACTGTACGAATGTGTCCCAACCATAACAACTAACATATAAATTCAAAATAAAAATAACAGATAATGTTATTAAAAAATTATTGTTTAAATATTAATCTAAGACACTTATACAAAAAGCATAAAAAACTATTTCATTAATTGGATCAAAAATTATTACAAATAAATGTTTTCAAAGATTTTTTGTAAAATTACTTTAGCAGTGCAAAAACACATATCGACTTGTTACAATAACGATTACGATAGCACTGCCACAGCGCACAGTGGACCAAAATCATTATTAGCTGGACAAAAGTCCAGGTCAGGTCAGGATAATCGAGATCAATCTTGCTACTGGTATCACGTAACCCAGTACCACCTGCCACAATCCCTGCTGCCTTGCAGAGTGTGCTCTTCTTATGCAAAGGCTAGGAGAAATAAACTCCGACTAAAAATTCCCCTGCCTTGGGGCTCTTGGTTGAGTAAAGGCTAGAGACAGTGTCTCGATAAAAACACTCATCTTGGGCAGATGTTAACTGTATCCAGCTAAACATCCCCTGCCTTGAGGCTCTTGGTTGAGTAAAGGCTAGAGATGGTGTCTCAATAAAAATACTCATCTTGGGCAGATGTTAACTGCATCCTGCTACTGTCTTGTAGAAGGCCTCCTAGGCAAAGACTTTAGGGGTAAGCACAAAAATTCTGCTAACCAGCCTCAAACCCCTTCTTCATCTATTAGGCTGGCGTAGATGTAACCTGTGTTATATTGTTTCCTGCCTAGGATGCTGAATGCTGGATCTCCTTGACTCTACTCATAGAATTTTGCTTATGCCTCCTTGATAATGGCTATACAACTCTTCCTGTTGTCTCCATATGAGGGTACAGCTCTAAAACTCAGTTTAATGGTTCTGAGGCCGGCTGGTAGTAAGGTTTCCCGAACTCTGTGGTAGCTCTCAGAGAGGCTGATTCCATCAACAGCTGCAAAATATCAGAGTATTAACAGTGCCATGTTGCGCATGGATGGTGTCCCTGTTAATGCTTTTGGTGTGCATTGTCAAGGCCACATAAGGAGCCCTATGTCACGGCTTAGAGTTAATTAACAGGACTGAGACAACTGCATAGCTCATTGATTAGGAGGCTGTGCTCTATCTATGAATGAGTCAAGTTCTCATTAAACCCAAATCATGACCAAAGTAACCAAAAACTTAAAACCTAAAAAACCATCCCCACCACCTAAATATTTTAATATATCTTTTACAAATATTCGCGGTCTACAAAGCAACTTTCCATCAGTTGAGTCTTACCTCCTGCAAAATTCACCAGACTTGCTTGCACTCAGTGAAACAAATTTAAGTTCTGCAATTCCTTCTTCAGATGTCAGTGTTGATGGGTACTATCCTTTGATTCGTAAAGACTCCAATAGTCACATGCTAGGTTTAGGGGTATACATACGCATTAATTCCCCAATTTGTCGTGAAATCAAGTTCGAATCCTTTGACCATTCTTTTATGTGCTTTCGCCTAGCACCTCTTCACTCTATCACCTTTCTATTTGTTCTTTATCATTCTCCTTCTTCCCATGATTGCACTCTTTTAGATCTTATCTCTGATCAAATTGACCATGCCCTCTCTCTTTACCCCTCTGCCAATATTGTTGTTGGTGATTTTAATGCCCATCACACTGAATGGCTTGGCTCTAACACCACTGATCCTGCTGGAACTAAAGCCTTTAACTTCTATGTTTCTCAATCTCTTACTCAGATAGTTAACTTTGTAACTCGTTTTCCTGACAACCCTAATCATTTACCTTCACTCCTTGACTTATGTCTTGTCTCTGACCCTAGCTTATGTTCAGTTTCTCCCTTTTCTCCCTTAGGTGGTTCTTACCATGCAATGATCTCTATAAATCTTTCTTCTCGTACTACTTTTTTGGGCTCACCTTATCATCGCACCACCTACTACTACCCTAAAGCTGATTGGGATTCCTTTCGTGATTTTCTTCGTGATGGTCCTTGGGCTGATGTTTTTTCTCTCTCAGCTGACAAATGCGCCTCCTACGTAACCTCCTGGATTCAGGCTGGAATGGAAGCTTTTATTCCTTCTCGTCGGTTTCAAGTCAAGCCTCATTCTATTCCATAGTTTTCTATTTCTTGTGCGGCTGCTATATCCAATCGTAATCATTTTTTTCATCTTTTTCAAAAGAACAACTCTCTTGAGAACAAACGGCTATTTATCATTGCAAAAAATCGATGTAAAAAGGTGCTTTCTGATGCTAAACTCCATTATTCTCAGTTCACTAAATCTCGCATATTATCGCAGAAGTTAGGCTCTAAAGACTTTTGGAAAATCTGTAACAGCATTGTTAACAAGGGTAGATCTAACATTCCATCTCTCATTCATGGGACTGATCTTGGTCAACATTCCTATATTAATGAATGGCAATCCTCTTACTGAGTCGTCCTCTTTACGTCTTCTTGGATTATCGCTTACTACTGACCTTTCATGGAAACCATATATACAATCGATTGCTAAATTAGCTTCTGCTAAGGTTGCTTTTCTTTATTGTGCTAGCCATTTCCTTACTTCTGATTCCATTCTCTACCTCTACAAATCTCTTATTCGTCCCTGTATGGAATACTGTTGTCATATTTGGGCTGGTTCTTCTAACGATTCACTTTCTCTTCTTGACAAGGTCCAAAAACGCATTGTAAATGTTGTTGGACCTGGACTATCTGCTAAGCTTGAACCTCTTTCCCATCGTCGTAAAATTGCATCTCTTTCTCTTTTCTACAAATACTATCATGGTCACTGCTCAAAGGAGTTATCATCTCTAGTTCCATCAACTAAAATTCATCCTCGTTTCACTCGTCATTCAGCTCAAGTCTCATTCGTTTACTGTATCTGTCCCTGCATGCTCTAAAAACTTTTATTCATCTAGTTTTTTTCCCCGCACTTCAATCCTTTGGAACTCTCTCCCATCTTCATGTTAAACTGATATTATTGCTACGTTGCTATTTTTTGTGTTTAAATGATGACACAAACAAAAATTAGTAATTTTTGGTGTTGCTATGCCATTTTGGGCTCTTAGAAACCAGTTATTATTATTTTTTTTTTATGAAACTTGCTTAATTCAAAATTTCTTTAATTCAAAAATGGAATTAAAACTTTGAAAACAATCTTACCTCTAAGGGTTTATAGACACAGTTAACAAAATTCGAATCAGTTGTATCTATGTAGTTCACATGTCCTTACCAACCAAATAAAAATCAACAAGTGTTAATACAGTTAGAGCTATTGAACACTTTATAAAGTATATGTAAGAGTACAAGCAAATTTGTATATTCAAAAAAACGTTTATTTACATAACATGCATTATTTTATTATAAAATAATAAATATTAAAAAGTAAACAACACCTTAAATACTAAATAAAATCAAAACTATGCAATTGCAATTTATAGTTATTTAAAAATTGGAACCTCTTTGAGTACATTTAGAATGCCAATTAGAAAAGCATTGCTCTTAGGATAATATGACTTTCTCAAACTACTTATCATAGGGTCAAAAGAACATATTAGTTGCCTTGATAAATCTTTTTGACCGCAAACACTTTTTGGAAAATGATTCACAAAACTTCTTTAAGTTTTTATTTTGCCTTATTACTGAAGAGGCACAAGAAGCTTAAAACTCCCTAAATAATGAAGTTTCAACTAGAAAACTAAATAACAATGTACACAAAATAACATGTAACATCTTTATAGTACTGACATCAAGTTCAAGAATTAGAGCAAACTTTTCTGCATTCTAAAAAATTCTTCTAGCAGTGCTTCCATTATTTGATGACCCAGAGCCACCAGATATTGGCATATCAACTACCAGTCCAACTTTGTCACAAAACTTTATTTGAATTTTTTGCTTTCTTCTTTGGATAATTTTTTTTTCAAATGGTGTCCTTGTAGACCACTTTTTCACTGTTAATTTGTATTTAATTTTAAGAAGACATTCTATGCTTTTTATTTCAAACATGGAAAGTTAAAAGGCCATAGTAGAGACCTATTTCTGTCAACGATATATTTTTAGTTTCTACTAAAAAAATTTGGTTTTCTATCTCAACTGTTGCCTGATTATAAATCCTTAGGCTGGTTGATCCATCAAACCGAACTTTAGAATGTAATGTTAGTCTTTCAAGATCATTCATGGAATTGATAACTTGTTTCTGCTGTATTAGGCGTATTGTTGAATGATCAACTAACGATTAAAAGTTTATTTTTTCAGAAAAACTATTAATAGTTCATAATGTTTTTTCAGTACAACATTATTATTTACCAGCACGAACATTTGCAGGATAGAGATTACAACCTTTACTCACAGCATTATTTCTCAAGTGTAAGTAATCAGATTTGCTCATACTATTATCTAATATGAGTGCTAGAGTTTTTATAGAGTATTTTGAGTATGTTCTGAATCAGAAGGCTGCTTAACAGATAAACTTTAAATTACTTTCACATTAATTCTTTAAAAAGATTACAACTACCAGCTTATAACAGCTCATTTAAATAACAAGTTAATAAGTCGATAGCTGCTACTTTACGACTCTTTGTCTTATTTGATTTTCAAATGATTTCACATGCTTACCAATAACTATAGATTTTGTTTTATTATCCTAATTTTTTGATGATTTAATAGTCTTTTTCTTAGGTTGAAGTTAGGAATGAGGTTACAAGAAGTTTTAATCATATATATATATATGTATATATATATATATATATATATATATATATATATATATATATATATATATATATATATATATATATATATATATATATATATATATATATATATATTTAAAACTAGTTTAAAGATTTTTTTGAATTTTTTTTTTTTATTAATTTTATATAATAACAATTGTTTGATCAGTTAATAAAAATATTTAATTACTATATCAAAAATTTATTCTACACTTTTGCTTTGTAAAAAACTATATTTTTTCACTTTATCGCTTTTTTTTTTTTGTGGAAAAACTTTATTGAATATGATTGAATATTTCTTTTTTTTTTATTAATTTTATATAATAACAATTGTTTGATCAGTTAATAAAAATATTTAATTATTATATCAAAAATTTATTCTACACTTTTGCTTTGTAAAAAACTATATTTTTTCACTTTAGCGCTATTTTTTTTTGTAGAAAAACTTTATTGAATATGATTTTTTTCCGCGAATTTATTCTTTTAATATCTAATTAAAAAACTTTTGAGGTCCCCAATATATCTAATTTAAAATTTTATAAAAAAATTTAAGCTTTCAAACATTGATTTTTATAGTTTTGTCCACCTATTGGCCCACTGTGCAGCGGTAAGCAGTTGGTCTTTGTGCATGAGTGGTCTTCACACACATATAAATGTAAATGTTTCAAAACAAAGAAAGACCTAGATATGCCTACAGTACAAATGCTCCCGCTGTACGAATCCTACCTGGTCTCCCCTACCTATGAGAAGGTAAACTTTAATTTAAAAAGACTGAATAAAATAAATCTATAAGTTAAACAGGAATGATATAAAATATCAAATATTTTTAAAAATTAATTAGCAAATTAAGTAACCTGAATTTCTGCTGAATCAGACGCAATGGCCCATCCACAAATAAAAAGAAGTTTTATTTGAAAATATCCAAATCCACATGAGGCTACAGCATTTTCATATAAATCTGCTTCATCATAAACATTATTTTCTTCTTTTAATAATGATTTAGTTTCACTATTATTTATATCACTTTCCTGGGAATCATGACTTAAATTCATCTTACAAAAAAGATCTTCTATGTCATTTTTTAAATCTGTAAAAAATTAACACTCAAAAATGAAAAATGTTAAACATTTTTTATCTAGATTTTTCAATCACTAAAAATAATTTAAACTTTACACTTTCTATAGCTGATAAATTTTTATAAAACCAATTTAATAAAAATTAACTTTACTTTTATTGTCAGTTTCAAATAATTAATGCCGCATAAAAATCCTAAATATAAAAAATCAATTAAAAATGAAAAAAAAATAATTATTTTATTTCTTCTAATAAATATTTCTTTTCTTTTTGCAGGATCTATTTTTCAAAGAAATTAAATGATGAATCTGCTAAAATTTAATAAGTTCCTACATTTTTTTCTTGCACAAGAGCAAACAAACAAACTGGAGTTTTATTTTTCATTATTTTATTGAAATTGTAAAAACAGTCTTAATAATAGCTTAATATTTTATTTCTTCATTTGAAACGATTAAGAAAAATTGAAATCGATTGCAAATATAAATTATAACTTTATTTTTAAAACCATTTTTGTTTTTGTAAGTTTTTTTTTCCATTGTCTCAAGACATGCCAAATAGTTATATATAAAATTGTAATGTTGCATAATTTTAAAAGAACTATATCTGACTTAAAATTATATAACATAACTTGTAGTTGCATAATTTATTTTAAAAAAGTTACATGTTATAAATTTTATCGAAAACAAAATAATAAAAAAATTGTTCAACACAGTTATTCAGCGAAGTCAAATATTTAATTTAAAAATTAATTTAATCAAAATCTTCAATAGCAATTTTAAGCAGAGATTACATAACTACTTGAATTATTGATTTTAATATAAAGATTTTCTTTATCATAACCTAAGTATACAAACTTAAATAGTTTTTGACAAAAAAAGCATTCTTATTCAATTGCAATTAACTCTAATAAAAACATGTATGTAATTATAGTAACATGTCTAATAAATTCATGCAAATTAAATCTAAATTAATTTTGTATTAAAAATTGAAAATAAATTTTTATAGTTATTATTGCTATTTAATCATTTTTATAATGTGAAAGGATCCAATAAAAGTATCTACATAAATGCAATGAAAAATAATTTTATTTTCTTTAACTAACTATATAACTTTTGAATACAACAGGATAGGAACAAAAAGAAGTAACGCTTTTTTGCGAAATTTATTAAATAATACTATTTTTTTAAAACTAACTATTATAAAATTGGTAATTTATTAAAAAAAATGAATGCATGCATTTAAAATATTGTATGCATAGATAATAAATGTATGCGTATACATACATTCGTATACATAAACTTTGAGAACAACAAAATTACAACGACTCTGTCATCAAAATACGATATTTACAAGATTTAAGACTTTAAATTTTGTGTAAAACCACACGAACACAGCTACGATTTACCGCTGTTACCTTGAGCATTCTAGGGAGACCTATGTCGAACAGTTTTTTTTCTAAATAAAAAAGTTTTTTTCTAAATAAAAAAAAAAATAACTATAAATATACAAATATAATTTATATGTATACCATAGTCTGATTTCAGCAAACAATTTTAATATTCAAAAGCTATTCATTTTTTGGTGCGTGCAAATCAGTAGGGTGAATCTTCCGAAATATTTGTTTTTGGTTTTTGGTTTTTATTGTAATAGTGAGAAAAAGATGCTTAATCGCTTCACAAATAAATTTTAACAAGAAAATTTAGTAAAGATTTTTTAAACTTTTTTCCTTCTTATTATAACTTCTGTTTATATAAAATATGATATTTTCATAAGTGAAAATAATTTTTAAGAAAAATATTATAAACTAGGTCGGAAAAGAAGAGAAATTTGATTATATAAGATGATACCCACAATTAACTAATTATGTTAGCACCTCAAGACTGATTGGGAAATTATTTTTGTAATGTTTTTAGTTCAAGCTGCAGAAAAAAAATGTTTACATTTATGGCTTATGCGTTTGATTTATCGCTGATTTGACGTCATCTTCACTGTGTCTACTTTACGATTTATAATATAGTTTATTTTGTGACTTAGCATTATTGTAGGCCTATTGTCTATTTTATTAAGTCAAACAAAGTAATTAAAACATAAAAACAATTTGTAAGCTTTTGTTTGTTTTTGATTTATTTCAATCACAAAATTATTTTTATTGTTTTTAAAAAGATTTAATTACTTTATATTTTATTAAGAAAGTTTATCAAATTAAAAAAATATCCAAATCTGGATTAGCCATTTTTTTAAATATCGATGGAAAAGTCAAGTGATAGCGATAAATTTAAAAAATTTATAAAATCTTAAATATGTTCAAAACTTCTAGTACCTCAATCAGAACAGCAGATAAATTACCAGTCGCTATTGATGACCAGGTAGTAAACAACTGGGGCCCCGGCTCAAAATGAGACTTTTTGCGATTCCGACCCCGGCAAAGTTGTAAGATTTAACAAGGGTTAATAGCCTGGGCTAGAAATAAATTTATAGTTCTTTATATATTATAATTTTATACTTACATTTACTATTTATCAAATTCTGGCATATATTTTTGCTAGTATTTAATAAATAGGGACAGTAGCCCATCCAATTTTGACCCCCACGAAAAACTTTTAATACGCAGAGTGTCATAAAATATTCCTAAGGCATTGCTTTTTTAATGAATTTTTTTTTTTTTTTTTTTTTTAGGATAAATGTTTATACTCGCGCCACTCTTTTAAAGTTTACATTTTTTGAGTTTTTAAGGGCATTTTCATATAATCGGCGCAAATAGAAATTTACAAATCATTACCTATATAATAACGTCATTACAAATAATGGAAGGTTTTTTATCTATACCGATTGTGCGCATTTTTATTACTTTTTTATTACATTTTTTTTTTTTTTATTACATTTATTATTTTTATTACTTTTTTATTACATTTATTATTTTTTTATTACATTTTTATTACAGAAGGTTTTTTATCTATACCGATTGTGCACATTTTTATTACTATTATTTTTGTTAGCTGGTGGTATTTTAAAAACGCACAAATTCGTTATGAAATTAAAAAAAAGTGGTTTTTAAACTTATTAGCGTTGAGGCCCAATACACAGATATTAGAAGTTTATTAGATGCTTATGATCTCATACAGCTCATCCACTTTAAATCCTGGCTATTTAAAAGGGGTTTGTATAAGATTAGCTAAGTTCACGCCTCCTTCCTAACCAATCTCGCAAAACTTGCTCAGAGGTGGGGTTTGAACCATGGAACCTTTATTTCTGAGGCAAGTGCGCTACCACTGCGCCACGGCTGCTCAAATAGAACTGTTAAGCCGGCAAATAAACTATTTATATCATAAAACCATAAATGGTTAAAAAATAGTGAGGTAAAAATAAACTACTTCACTTTAAAATATCTTTTTGCCAAAATAAGTTTCTAATTTTAAAATTATTTATATTTAGACTTTTGAGAAGTGCAGAGATTATTGTGAACTAGTGGAAAAAAATCAGACCATTAGGTGAAAATTAACAAATATATTTTATGAAATTCAAGGCTGTTTCACACGCCTTGAATTTCATGAAATTCAAGTTGCATTTTTCTAAAATCAAGAAGGTTTTTATTCTGAGTATTAAAATTCTCAAAGAGGTCAATAAAATGGCTGACTAAATTTCTATTTCTAGGTATCGTGGTTTCTGACCTGCAATTTTTAAAGTAAAACTTAATTTCATAAGTTTTGATATTTTAGTCTTATTATTTAAAAACATGTCATAAAAATAACAAATTGTTTAAAAACAATGGTTTGCAAGACGGTTTAAAGTCAGATACAAAGATAAAATTAATACAAAGAATTAAATAAATTAAAATAAATACAAAGAAAATAATTGTAAACCAATTTTTTTTTCTACAGACATACTTTTCCTAAAATCAATAAAAGTATAGTAAAAATGAAAATAAAAGAAGTAGCACTTTGGTTTTATCTTGTCAAAATTATGTGTAACAAGTTTTTAGTATTGCCATTTTAAACCCTATTTTATCAACATTTCATTATTTTTCATTTACACTTTTAAGATCAACGAGGCAGATGTATTTTAAGATTTGCAGATGTATTTTGAGCCTGCAGAGGTAAAGTTCAAATCATTTTAAAACCATAGAGGTGAGTGGCGCTGGCGTTAGTTTCTTTTGACTAAGATCACAATATAAAAATGGTAAAAAGGAAAACAAAGAGAGGTCCGATAAGATGTAAAAACGGATAGAATCAAAGATGAAATTTCTCTAAGAGCAGTTTTTGTTGATAAAGACCAGCTACTAGGCCTTGAGTTGTATATTTCACCAGATTACTGGTTAATTTTTGATATTCTAAGTAATAGTTTTAAAAAATGCCTACGGATGAGGCTCCCTCAGACTTTTTGGATACAATGAATTCCAAAACTTTTAAAACCTTTGAAAGTTGCTAACAACTCATCAGAACTCACAGCAAAATTGTAAACTAATTGATCATAGTTTAAGAAACTTATTTATAAAAACAAGAAATATATTTCTTTTTCAAATTTAGGGTTTTTAAACTTTATATGGTCATAATTTATGAATACTGAGAGATAATACTATGAAACTTAAAATTTATCGATGAATATAAACTTAGTTAAGAAAAGCAAATATATATTTTACCAACTTGTTGCTCTCACCTTTGGGTCAAGGGGGATATAGCTTAAGGGTTTTTTTGTTCCCAGCCTCCAATCATCGCAATGTTTTGCAAAGCATCCTAATTTGATATAAGTATAAACATAAAAATGTTTGGAATTTACGCACGACATTTATGTCTGTTAAGTGTTATCTCAAACACCAAAAAATGCTGGATCCTTCATTGATCTGTGGTTCGATGCCTACTCTGTGATTTTTTTTATATGAAACAAGCGTAAACTTTCAAGTTAAAGGCTCTTCTGCAGTGCTCTTTTTAAAAATAAAAGAATAAAAATAAGAAAAGTAAAAAAAGAAGAATTTTTTTGTTTCTTTAGATATATACATGTTGTTGTAAAGGAAAACCCGTAGAAGTCTATAAAGACTTATCATCGAGTACCTCTTGAAATGGTTAAATAAAGTCTATTTCATTTTTATATATACTCAAAAGTGGTTAACCAATAAACAGTCAGTGATTCACATAAATATTTTAGTATAAATTTTAATGTTAAGATTAATACAGGTCGATATAATTGTTGATACTAAGTATGAGGTGTTTTAATTTATTTTTCAAGTTTTATTATTATTCAAGAGTTATTTAATACTTTAAGTTCTATATTTTTGGATATGATTTTGTTATATAGGTACGGACCCTTGTAGGAAATAGAAAATCGTGAGAACTTTATTGCTCTTTTAGGCAGTGCGAAGTTGCCTGTTGTTCTTGTTATTAAATATTAATATAAATTGCTCTAAATTTAGTCAAAAATCATTAAAAGCGTAACTTCTAACAATCGGCGCAAATACAAAATTTCTGTAAAGAAAAAATAAAAAAATAAAACAATTGTTCATATAAATATGACCCCTATGCCACTCATTAGCCACTCCGCATAAAAATTGGTTGTCGTAAAAAAATTATGGGATTGGTTAAGGTACAGATACAGTAAAAGGAAAAAAACAATGGAAAGTTTTAAGGCTGATTCAAAACGGCATTTTCTAAATATGGATTTCGATATATTAGATTTCAAATACATATTTTGAAAATAATTTAGTTGTTTTAATCAAAAAATTATTTTAAATCTGTATTACATTTCTTCAACTTTTTTACTACATTTTTTTAATTTGTTTTATTTTTGTTGTGCTTTTGTTGATATTAAATAATAAGTAATAAATATTTAGTTATATTTCATTATTTATAATAAAACACAACGCAATTTTTGTGGATTGATAAATTCTTGGTTATCTATCTTTTGTTTCATTTTATTACTTCAATATTCCGTTGAAATATTATTATTAAAAGTTTCAATTTTTCATTTTGAAAGTTTTTTTGAAAATTTTTTATATACTATTTTATTGATTATTTGTTTCGCATGCAAATATATTAAACGTATACAAAACACTAATTTTACGGGGGTTCGGCCTTTAGACAATTTGTCATTTTCTTACTCCTACATGGTTTTTAATTAATTGTAATTTTTTTTTGTTATTTAAACTAACGGCAAACATATATATATATATATATATATATATATATATATATATATATATATATATATATATATATATATATATATATATATATATATATATATATATATATATATATATATATATATATATATATATATATATATATATATATATATATATATATATATATATATGTATATATATATATATGCATATATAAAAGGATGCAACTTGTTGAATAAGATGCCAAGCAAGAATGAGTTTTGGTTTATTGTAATTAAGATGACAGCTCGTTTGAGCATTCTCCGTGATTAGAGAAACAGCATAAAAAAGGAAGGCTAAAGCCTGATGATGATGATCATGTTGGTCATAAATATGTTTATAAATGAATATATATATACAAAATCAAACATAAATTTTGAAAAAAAAACGGCCTCGATTCTGGCCCCGACTATATTTTATCAAACCCATCCCCGGCCCCGGTCAAATATCAACCCAGGTCGTTTGCTATGATCCGGCTGAAGAAAATGAATAAAGCAACAAAATGCGTTTGTTAAATGAAAGTTGTGATAAATTTGCTTAGCGTTAGAAATATATGGCTGATTGGATCCAGGAATTTTTGGTAGGGGGGGATGTTAAAATATTTTTGTATTTTGTATCACATTTAAGAAGTTTAGGAACTTTAGATTCTGGTGGGGGAGGGGGATGCATACCCTCATATCCCCACTGGATCGGTCACTGGATTTAATCGTGAAAAAAAAAGAGCTGACGCTAAAGCTAACAAACCTGAATTTGAATAACCTAAATTGCTTAGTAAAAACAATATTAAAAAAAAAAACGCTTAAGCGGTGAACGTGAATAGACGTGCTATTAAAAAAAATAAAGATTGCAAAATTTT